CATCCACAGCAGGGACATGGGGGCCGTCCCCACAGTGCCGCCCCGGGGTGCCCGGTGCCACGGCGGCCGACGGGAGCAGGCGACAGGCGATTTTGGCGAGGAGAGGGCAGATGAGCAAGCCCTCCCCATGCCGTGCAATGCTGCTTTGGGGACTTAAATGCTAAAAAGCACCCTGGTGCCTTCAGCTTCCAGTGACACTTATTTGGGAACACACTTTGGCACCCAAAAATGGGCTCAACCACGCCGCGGTGCCCTGACGCAGGCAGGAGGAGCAGGCAAGACCCCAGCGATGCCCAGGCAGCAGCAAAGCCCATACCCAGCCCTGAGCACAACCCCGGCACCACCGAGGAGAAGCCCCTGCTCTCCCAGACCTGCCCGCAGCCCTTCAAACGCCTTTGCCAAAGGTGAGCGGTGCCAGGAGGTGTTTTTTCCTTCCTGCACAAAGCCGGGGTGGGGAGGGAGGTGCTGCTATTGTGCCTTTTATTTTTTTTTTCTTATGAACTCAAGCCACAGCGTAATTTCCACCGAGCAGCCGTTTCACCTGCACGGTGCGAGGGCCGCGCCGGTGAAACGGGGCGTTTGAAGTCGGGTTTTGTGACTGCATCTGTGCAACCGAATTTCTCATACGAAGGCTGCCTGGGAGGGATGTGTGGGCGCCCCTGCCCCATGCCTCGCCGTGTCCCCGGGGAGGTGTCTGCGTGCGTGCACGGGTGTGCACGCATGTCCTTGCACGGCCACGTATGCGCCTCTGCCCGGCTTTGCTCAGGAGCATGTCTGGACCCCCCGGCTCCTTCCAGAGGAGCTACCCTGTGCTGGCCCTTCCGCATACGCTTCTTCGGCCGGGTCCAATTGGTTTGTTCACAAGCGTGGGCAGGCGTGAGGAGGGCTGAAGGCTGGGCTGACCCCTTGCTCTTCAAGGCTCATCGGGGTGGCCCGGCTGTCCCCAGGCCAGCTGTGACCCAGCTGGGCGGTCGGCCCAGCGCTGGCGTAGCCTTGCAGAGACGCGAAGGACCACGGCCCCAAAGCTGCCACCGCAGCGGGGAGGTGCTTGCACTGAGACGGCACCGAAACCAGGCGTATCTCAGTGTCTGAACCCCTCAAACTGGGCAGTGGACCCCAATGGAGCGGCACTAAGCAGCTGCCCGTCCCTAAGCCGCTCTCCCCTGCAGCCGGGCGGGGGAGAGCCTGGCGTTGGGGACAAAACTCCCGCTTTGCCCTGGAAATGGGGGCTCGGGGAGAGCCCTGCGAGGGGGCCACTGCTCCCACCCTGGGCAGGCCCCCCAGGTGGGCAGAGGGCATCAGGGCAGCGGCTTTCACCCCAGCTGGGAGGCCACAGAGGAATGGGGAGCACAGCCCTGCTCCCCCCATCCCTCGCCCGGGCACCAGCGCTCACGTCCCCCTGCAGCGACGAGCCCAAACCCTCCTTTTCATCCCTCCAAGGGGCAACCTCAGAGAGTGCAACAGGACCCCGCAGCTTCCACAGGCACCCGGGTGGTCCCCGGCTCCCGTCCAGAGGGTGCAAACCCTCTCGCCCC